TGATACAGTCCTAGGAAGCTACTCAGGAACGGAGAAGGAGAGCTTCGAAAGATCTGTAAAATACACAGAAGAACCGAGAGAGATAGAAGGAGAAGGACGAGAGAGATAGAGATTTGGAAAAGTTGTTATTCATTTCTTGATTGATACATTTTTAGAGATAGAGTGGGTATTTATAAGAGCTACTCCAACTAATAACCCTAACAAACCCAACTAACCCTCATTTACACTGTATCATACTACCCCCCTTAGGACAACCTTGTCCTCAAGGTTGAAAAGCTAAAACTGGTTTCCGAATCCTCACCACTTCCTTGCAACATCTTGTACCCTTTGACATAGAAACCTGGATGGAGTAGTCAGCATTGGTCCTTTAAAAGCTTTCAATAGAGACATTGTGAACCTCTGCACCCTCTTGCAGCAATAGTTTGTAAGCCACATGGCCACTCCTCACTTGAATATGTAAGGGACCCTGCTGCAAAATCTTATCAATGCCATGAGAATCAACCAATTGCTTCACTCTGTTTTGGACATCCTTTAAAGTGGTAAAAGAGTGCGTTGAACTGATGAGCTGAACACATGTGCATACCCAACCTACTTCCCATGGAATCAACCCTTGTGTTCTAGCTGGTACAACTAGTGGTTGAAGCCTAGTTGCAGCAGTTAATCCAAGTAACCAAGAGGGTAACTGTGGATGAGTTGCCTCCTTGATGAGTTTTGGGAGTTCATTGCCCATGGCTCTCAAATGGGTCTCAGGGTATCTGTTAACAACCTCAGTTTGTCTACCCAATGAGTTAAGCCACCCTTCTATAACATCCATAAAGACATTCCTCCTTAATACCCCTTTACATTTTCTCTTCCTTTGTGATTGTCCTGCCCAAGGAACTAACCACTGTCTTCTGGTAGTATTTCTCCTCCTTATTCTTATTTGGTCCAAAATCTGAAGAGGTCTAGAACAGTTGACTACCTTGCAGATTTCCTGGGAATGAGCTTCATCACTTTGCAAGTGTTTGTAAGGTATGAGAGTTACCAGATGGCTTCCTTTTTTCAGTGAAATTCCAGAATCAAAGGTACTTCTATTAGGTGGAAGACCAGCCGGGGTTTGCAAAACCTGGACCCTGGCATACTCATTTAATAGTTTGAAGAGTAAAGGTAATGCCTCTTTACTTCCATTCTGCAGCACTCCTTTGATATTTTTACAGACTGAGGTACCTTGTATGTTGTATCCAGTTGTCACTGTTATTCTCAAGGCCCTACTGAATTTAGGGTAAAAACCTAGCTTTATGGGCATCATATTAACCCCAAACCTGTGTGTACCTCCTGAATCTATCAAAAATTGTAAAGCCCTTTTCCCTACAAATCCTGTCATCCTCATAATTTGGCAACCACTGTTCCCAGGTAAAGTGTGAATTGAAATGGATGTTGCACTGCCAGCCCTTGCTGCCCAACCAGGTATCTCAAATTGATCAACCACTTTTTTTCCTAAAAGATCCACTAGAAAGGGCTGAATCCCCTTTCTCTCACACTTATGTCCCCATTCAAATGGATTGCCACAGTAATAGTCCATTCCATTTGCCATTATTTCCCCTCCTATAGCAAAAGATATAGACCTTGGGTTTCCTTGTGGTGGAAACTGGACCTTGCTGTCAGAGTATTGAGAGCTCTCAGCACTATTGGTCCTGGCTACAGATTCAAGCTTAGCAATTGATTTATGTTCCTCAGAAACATTTGCCTTTACAATTTCTCTTTTGTCTCTCTTAGCCACATCTGAATCATCACAAGACTCGGACGAGAGGTGTTCTACTAAATGGGAACAGTCAACTGGAATCAGTGATGTTTTTCTTGAAACCTGAAACTCCAACTTCAAGTATGATGAGTCCTTTTGCACAGGGTTATCGGCTGAGGACTCAACAAGAGAGACATTATTAACACTAAAAGATTTCACCATGCTGGTGTGCCCTTGATAAGTTTCCAGACCATCCAGGTGTATATTAGACCAGCTTCCAAAAGGTTCCTGAGTGATCAAAGGGCTAGATGTGGATGCTGGATGGTTCAAGAAATATTTGTGACCTGCATCATTACTGAATCTCGAACATACATGTTTATCATCTTTAAATCTTGCATACAAATCCACAATAAAATCCTCCCAATCCACAATAGGCCTAGCTTGCCCATAACCTTCAAACCATATCTTAGCCCTCCCCTCCAAATGAATTGAAGCTAAAGTCACCTTCTGATTATCAGGAATTTTAAACAGGGAGAAGCATTTTCCACATTGTTTGATCCATTCTCTTGGATTACCCCCCATAAACAAAGGCAATTCAATTCTAGGGTTAAAGGAAAATGGATGCCTACCTTCGGTGTGCATAGGCAAGCTTCGTGCTGCTGTTTTGGTGCTGACATTTGATGATTGGAGCTTGTGTAATAATGATGTGAATGATCGAAATTGCTCATCCATTGACCTTTGATGTTCTAGCAGTTGCCGGTTCATCCCTTCTTGATGCTGTTCAAAAATCTTCTGGATGGATTCTTCCATTGTTACTTTGATCTTGTGTTGACTAGGGTTTTCCGTCTGGTTTGAGAAGGAATCTGATCTTCGCACAAAACAAATCAGGATAAAAATTCAGTTGCAAACCAAATGAGTCAGTCGCAATTGAGAGACACAAAAAATCTGATTAGCGCCAGGATAAAATCAATTGATTAACAATTGATCAAATTTGTTGAAGAAGGATCGTGACTGCTGACTGCTCTGATACCAATGATACAGTCCTAGGAAGCTACTCAGGAACGGAGAAGGAGAGCTTCGAAAGATCTGTAAAATACACAGAAGAACCGAGAGAGATAGAAGGAGAAGGACGAGAGAGATAGAGATTTGGAAAAGTTGTTATTCATTTCTTGATTGATACATTTTTAGAGATAGAGTGGGTATTTATAAGAGCTACTCCAACTAATAACCCTAACAAACCCAACTAACCCTCATTTACACTGTATCACCAGGTAATTAGCAGAACATGGCAGACTGCCCATAAGATGAAATTACTTAGAGGCCCACTTGACAAAACNTGATACCAATGATACAGTCCTAGGAAGCTACTCAGGAACGGAGAAGGAGAGCTTCGAAAGATCTGTAAAATACACAGAAGAACCGAGAGAGATAGAAGGAGAAGGACGAGAGAGATAGAGATTTGGAAAAGTTGTTATTCATTTCTTGATTGATACATTTTTAGAGATAGAGTGGGTATTTATAAGAGCTACTCCAACTAATAACCCTAACAAACCCAACTAACCCTCATTTACACTGTATCACCAGGTAATTAGCAGAACATGGCAGACTGCCCATAAGATGAAATTACTTAGAGGCCCACTTGACAAAACCCAATCAGACAATGACAATCTGAGGATCAGAAGATACATTGCAAAATACACTATAAATCCTGCAATTGCCAATGGCTTCTCCAAGCATGTTGGCTCAGTTGAGGTATGATCTTTGATAGCTTGGTTGTTATTAACTGGAGGTTATTGTTCTATTAGCCTAACATATGCCTTTTGTTGCCAGCATTTTACATTTTACTACGGAATATTTAATTATAGATTTCTATATCCAAAAACTCATAATAATCGTTTTAATTTTTTCCATTTGCAAACAATATTGGCAGGTGGGGAAGTTGGCTGATCTTGTCATTTGGAAACCATCTTTCTTTGGGTCAAAACCAGAAATAGTGATCAAAGGTGGCACAATAGCATGGGCAAACATGGGGGACCCAAATGCTAGCATCCCAACTCCAGAACCAGTAATTATTTCTCTTGAATTTGATTTTAGGACAAAAATTCTGCATTTTGCACTATGTTTTAATCATGAAGTATATTTTCATAAAGGCTCAATGCTCTAATGTTCAGTGCTGGTTATAGATCTTCATTTTTTCATCCCAACTTGTCAACACAACCAAGTACAATAGCAAAACCCAGTGTAGTCATTGGAGGGGTCTTTAGGGTCTAGATGTACACAGCCATACTTCTTTTGAAAGCAAAGAGATTTGTGATAGACCCTTGATGCATTGCTTCATTTACTAACCAAAACTTCATAAAAAATAAGAAGTAAAAGATGTTTAGTGGGTCATTTTGAGTCTCCATGATTTACCCCAACTTGAAACATTATCAAGAATGACTCGTGTAGGCTTGTAGCTCCATTGGCAATGGCAGCAATCTCTCATTTAAACAACAAAGCCCCTACCTTCTTTCCTTACATATCTCAACTTGAAATTTTGATTTGCTTAGGGTCGGTTTGGATGTAGTCATGTTGGGTTTAAGAAGGGTTTGGAGGACTTGCTACCTTGTTCTCTTTGCCTCTTGCATTGAATCTTTCTTATCTAGAATATATGTTTCTGGCGGGGTTAAAATGTTTCTGAGCTTGTCTAATTTTCTTGTATGGAATAGAACTACCTAATTCAATCTGAATATTTACTGTCTAATCTGATCAAAATAGAAATAATCAAAAACAAAAAGAAAAGGCAAACAGAATAGTCTACATCTTGACACAGCCATACTGGTATATATAAAATGTTTCTAAAATCAAAGAAAAGGTGATTGAAGTCTTATACATTCACATATTAAATTAAGTTACGATTTTTATAAAATGTCAAATAATTCTCCATCAAACCAGACCAGACCCTTTGACAGTTTACAACATCCCATGTGCTTGCATTCATCTTAAACAGTCTTGATCGTTATAGAACTCAAGGTTTGTGTCACTTAATCCTCAAATTACTACTACAGGTGATAATGAGACCCATGTTTGGAGCATTTGGAGAGGCTGGGAGTTTCAATTCAATTGCGTTTGTCAGCAAAGTATGTTCTCTTTTCTTGAATATTACTAGCTAACGTACAGACTAATCACAAAATAAACTTCAGTGTGTGACTTCGACTTCACGAAGCATAAAAAAAGTGTTGGTACGTAATATATGTTGCACGGTTTCTTCAAACAATTGTCGCTTCCTGTCCCCAAAACATCCCCGTTTGGGTGCTCGGGGACGTCTCCACACCCAACTCATTCAAACAATTTGTAAAAGTTGGTGCTTCCCATGTTTCTGACCCCGTCCCCGTATAAGTACCTGTCCCCATCTCGGTGAAACTTGTGTAGTAGTTTATATTATAACCTCACTAATATCATATGTAATGCATTCAACCATTCGTCCTCACAACACAGGCAGCAATGGAAAAAGGGATAAAAGAGCGGTATGGGCTGAAGAAGAGATTGGAAGCGGTGAAGGATGTGAGGAGAGTCACAAAACTGGACATGAAACTCAACGACGCACTTCCAAACATATCAGTGGATCCAGAGACGTACAGGGTGACTGCAGAGGACGATGAAGATACACTGCTGCTTGCATGCCCACCTGCTACAACCCTCCCTCTTTCTCGGAATTACTTCCTCTTCTAAGGCAGGTAATCTCTATTGTATCCCATACAGATGCTTATTTATACTGACTCTGCACTTTGTTCAGAGCACAAACATGTGATGCACTTTGTTCCTTGCTGTTCCTGGTTTCCATTATCCCCTGAAGTTCTAAAACATCCTTGGAGACAGTAAAAAACAACTATGGAAAAAAGTGGCATATGATGTTTTCTTATGTTGCTCGTTTGCGACTCGTGTCCCAAATTACACGAATTGCTGAAATTGTTCTGTGAAAAATACACATGCAACAGGGGAAACCTTCACATGAAGATTGAGAGGTGCAAACATCCAATTTTTTTCAAGTACAAGAAATATCGTTTACTTCAAAGGACGGCAGAGGATTAAAAAGTGACACCGCAAAGTGACACCGGATCAAAGGATCAAAAAGTGATCAAGGTCAGCTCCACACCTCTACTGTTCAAAGCATCAATGGTGGACAAGATTCATCTAAGAACTATCTGAATGTAAACGTTAATTTTTAATCTTTGGTGCAACGAAAAATCCTTCAAGTCGATTTACAATGTGTAACTCTATTTTAACACCAAAATTTACAACAATGTACATCGTACTTCGCAGACATACACAAACAAAACTAAAATCCCCCCCCCCACACACACACCAATTTTTGTCCAATACATCTCCCTCACCATAATAAAATATCAAGGAGGCACCATGCACATACAATACCCATATTACTCCATTTGTTCCCAAGGTTTTTCTCATTGTTAACTTTCTTCTTCAAACTAAATAAATTTATATTTGTAATGTATTACTCCCTCCATCCTAAAATTAACTTCTCATTTTGACTTTTGTAGTTAAACTTTTTTTACTTTGACCGTATATTAAGAAAAAATACATTGAATTTTCATACTCCCTCCGTCCCAAAAAGTCTTTCATGTTTCATTTTTTGCGCATCCCATAAAACACTTCTACCGACATCTAAAATGTCTAAAATTTACAACATTACTTCTTTATTGTGGGTAGAAGTTATTTTTAAAAGTTTTTTGGCATTCAAGGCGGGATAGAAGGGTTTTTTGGAATGCGCAAAAAATGAAACAAGAAAGACTTTTTGGGACGGAGGGAGTATAAATTTATTGGCAATAGATTCATTTTGGAATATAGTTTTGAAATATATAATTTTTATAAAATATATTTATATAAAAATTGAGATATTGATGGTCAAAGTATCGTATTGGAGACCGTGAAAAGTCAAATGAGAAGTTAATTTTAGGACGTAGGGAGTAAAAAAAATTATGCCTGAGTTTAATTGTCAATACACAACCTATATAGTTTTGTAGAATGTGAGTACATACTAAGCCAAATGGGCTTTGAGTGTTGAGTGCAGTTTGAGGCCCATAGTAATATACTACTACTCCCTCCGTCCACCTAAGATCTTCCCATTGCGCGTTACGAGGTTTGACCGACTTTATTTTCAATTCAATTTATTTGAATATATGCGTAAAATTTTAATATAAAATTTATGTAGTAATAAACTACATGAAAAGTTTTACAAAACTAGAGATAACAACACTATATTATTTTATGAAATGAGTAGTAAAAATAAATAAACAAAGTGAATTAAGTTTGACCCTTTGAATAGTGTCTGGGAAGATCTATGGTAGACAGATGGAGTATCTTTTTCTTAGTGTGTATTTATCCAATTTGATTTTTTTTAGTTAAATTAGAAAATATAAAGTTTCATTTAGTCTCAAATTTATTTTTGATATTAGTATAACTAAATAAAAATTTGAAAATTCTCAATAAGATAAATCTAATTAAGATTGCGTTCCATTTGCCTAATATGAACTTATTTGATATAATTTTTTGAAAACTTCATATGATCTGATTGCAGTTATAATTAAAGTTATTTTGATCTGATTTGATTATAATAAGAATAAGTACTAAGAAGAAAAAAAAAGTTGAACGTAACGTTGCCTAAATCATTTTTATACAAATACACATTATGATTTTTATTTAATTGAAATTGAAAGTTCATCTAATTTTATTTGAATATTAAACTGGACAAACATACTTTTTAAGAGAAAGTCATTGTAGAGACTGATTGCAAGGATGTGTAGGTCACTTTGAACAATCTTGGTACGGATTAGTCTTATATTAATTCTATCATTAATGATTGTAAAAGTCCACCTACCCTATGTGGTAGAGACTTGCAGTTTACTATTTTTTTTGTTCTGCTAATGAGGTTGCACATATATTAACGCGAGTCTCATATTCTTCTCAGAGCATGGATGTGTGGGTTGATTTACCCCTAGACCTTACCAAAGTGCAGGCCGGGCCAGGTTTTGGACCGGGCCGAGATGCTACATTACGAGATTTTTCTGCCAAGCTCAGTCCATATAGCGGGCCTAACAATTGAATCCTGAGTCCAGCTTGCATGGATACTTGCGGGCTTCAGGGTGGCCCGGTCCCCACCACAAAGGCTTTTATATAATTAAAAAAATAATTCTAAAAAAATAAAGTATTGTGTTAATATATTAGATGTTTGATATAATAACTATAATAATGAGTAAATAAAAAAGCAACTAATATATACTTCCTCCGTCCCCCTGTATTTGTCCACATTTGACTTTTGGAATTGTTTATCTAAGCACTTTGACTCATCAAATTCTCTCAATGTGTAAGCCTAAATATAGTCATGTGTGATCTTGTTTGATTTGTCAACATATAGATTATTAATATATAATTTTTATAATTTTTTAATATACAAATTACAAGATAAAATGGATTAAAGAAGTGCATTGGATGATGTTTAAAATTTAAGTGGACAAATACATGGGGACGGAGGGAGTAAAATATATTTTGTTCGATATTGTTAGTGCAAAATATTACTCCCTCTGTCCCTCATAGATCTTCTCAATAGTCATTTTTCTTTGTCCACAATAGATCTTCTCATTTCATTTTTTAACAATTAAAATACCACAACTACCCCCACTTACTTTATTTATTATACCTCACCCACTTCATTTAATACACTCCACCCATTTTTCATTAAGGGTATTATGGTAAACTTTCACCTTTTTTCAACTCTCCTTAAAAACTACCAAAAGTCAAAATGAGAACATTTTAGGGAGACGGAGGGAGTATTTATTAGATTATCATTGTCAATGTGTGATACACAGTAAACAATACATAGTAATAAAAATGTATTCACTTTATTAAATATACTTATAATCCACTTTTTTCTCCATAGATGTATGTGTGTGTTTATAATAATTTGAAATAGCATTGTTCTTATGATTATTAATATTAATGTTGTTATTATTATTCTATTATAATTATACTAATAAAATATATTTTAATTCATTCAAGCCGGGCCGGGTTGAGCTTGAGCATAAAATCTGAGCCCGGGCCAAAAATATTTGAGACACCGTTTATAAGGCTCAAGTCCAGCCCATACCCTAAAATGTCAATCCATGCTCGCTATTTTACGGGCGGGCTTTTGCGGGCAAGCCGGATACCCAAGCCCGTGATCGGGTCTATGTACCCCCAAACTTAATTCTTAATCTAATATAATCTTTATTGGTTTAAAAAAACACACATAGACCGAAAGAGTAGCTTGGTATAACCCTAACATGAAACGGAGATAACTGACCCATTTGACCAAAGTGTAACCAACTTGGATAAAGAAAACGGGAAGGAAATTAACGTCCTTAAATTCTCTTTAAGACCTCCCAAAAAGTACTTTTATACTACTTTTGTCCTAATTTAAATTGTTTGTTTGAGTTTTTTATCCGTCTCAAAATAAGTTGCTTGTTAGTTGTTATCATAAATTTTTAAAAATAAAATACCTAAACTACTCCTAAAATAAGTTATCCTTCTTCACCTTATATTCTAATTCATAGTCTCCCCTTCTAAAAAGTAATGACAATTTCATGCAGTGTCTTTTCCTTCCACATTAACACTCATAAATTTTAGGAAAAATTACCCAAAATAATCCCAACTTTACCCGGTCTTTCAAAAATAATCACACCTTTCACTGTAATGCATAATAATCTCAACTTTATTGAAATTTGCCAGTTTTGGGTCGCCGTTAAGTTTCTAACGGAGGGTTAACGGAAATGCCTGTTTTAGGCAACAAAATGAAAGTTGAGATTATTTTTGATGAATTTTTGTTTTTTAATTTTTTTTTAAATTTTTATTTAAAATTTTTGAATTACTTTCAACCTCAATTTCTTTTTCTTTTTTAAAGATTATTCTTACCTTAGAGAAAAATAGATATAAAAAATAATGAAAATGAGAAAAATAACTAAAACCATACAAAATTAATCAAATAAATAATGTAATCAATAGAAATTAAACAGAAACTGGTAAGAAATAAAATAAATATATACAGAGTGGTGGGTTTTAACATTTTACACACTATACGGAGTCTTAATGTACTACTTCTTCCGTCCCAGAGTATTTGTCCACTTTCATGTTTACACACCATGCAATACACTTCTTTAATCCATTTTATCTTGTAATTTGTATATTAAATAATTATAGAAATTATATATTAATAATCTATATGCTAAGACAAATCAAACAAAATCACACATGACTATATTTAGGCTTACACATTGAGAGAATTTGATGAGTCAAAGTGCTTAAATGAACAGTTCCAAAAGTCAAAAGTGGACGAATATAGCGGGACAGAGGGAGTACTTATTTTTTAAAAGAACAAGCCGTCCGGTAAAGTTGGAATTATTTTAGATAATTTTTTCTAAAAAATAAGAAGTGATATGTTAATACTTTGTATAATGCGTAAAATATTAAAACCCACCCGTATATTTTTATTTTACTTTTACCAATTTGAAGTTAGTTTCCATTGATTACCTTATTTGTTTTATTATTTTTGTATCATTTTAGTTACATTTCTCATTTTTTTCATTTTTTATATCTATTATTTTTATTTTTTAAACTAAGACTAATCTTTAAAAAAGGAAAAAGAAATGACGATGGAGGTAGAAAATAATTTAAAAAATTTAAATGAAAATTTCAAAAAAAATTAAAAAACAAAAATTCATCAAAAATAATCCCAACTTTCATTTTGTTGCCTAAAATGGGCATTTTCATTAACCCTCCGTTAGAAACTTAACGGCAACCCAAAACTGACAAATTTCAATAAAGTTGGAATTATTATGCATCACAGTGAAAGGTGGGATTATTTTTGAAAGAAAGGGTAAAGTTGGGATTATTTTAGGTAATTTTTCCTAAATTTTATCGAATAAATCTTACGTTCATTGCGGGAGAGAGAATTCATCTTTTAGTAAATATTGCCGGAGTAATAAAAAAAGGAAAAAAATTTGCCAAAGGTTATGAAGGCTTTTTTTTAGTTCCAGCTAGATCAGTCAATAGGGCGATAAAGGGATTCGAAAATGACCTAACTAATCAGTCATTTACAAAACAAACATCACGCCAAAGGATCATTGATTAATTGCATCCATGCATGATAACCGGTGGTGGTGCATCATTGATTTCATCTTCGGGGTTAAAGTAATGTTTTCCATTTACTTACCACGACAATGTACTAGAGTACCATTTTACGACAACTTGGCCTTCGGGCAATATGATGGGCATTCGTTTTTAACGAGCACCGAGAATCACACTGTGGGGAAGTCCATGCCTATCTTGTGAGTATGATGTTCTTCTTCTCAGGCAAGCTGGCAATCCCATCAGGTGATGATGCCACTAAGAGACCACAGTGCACTTTCCAATGCCTACCAAAAGTCCTCAAAATTTGTTGCCCAACAATCTGTGGCTCTTATTAGTGCTTTATTTTCCCACATCTATAAACTTCCGAACATTTACTTCACTGCATTTGACTACGTGTCTGTGCGACTGTGTAACCAAAGATGCAACAAATACTAAAAGGGCATGTACATGATTAGTGGTAAAATGGGAGCTTTCGATAATAAAAAACATTTAGTGTACAGTGTTTGGTTCAAGGATTTGAAAGGTATTAAGAAAAGAAAATGAGATGGAAAACAGTTATCTTGTTTGGTTAGAGATGAAAAGAAAAGAAAAGAAAAGTGGAAAGAGAATAAAATGAGAAGGCAAATTGTACAAAGGGAAAGGAAAACCAAATTCCTTTCATTTTGGTGAGCAAAATGAAAGAAAACCACTTTTCTTTTCCTTCCAAATTCATTGAACCAAGCATAGTGTAAAGCTTTTGCTTTTGTAGAATATATCCTCAATTATTTTCTCGTTCGAAATTATGTGTTTGCAGACCTAGAAAAGATAAGTCCAATACTTTGGCTTAAACGAGTAAAGAGTGCAATTTCTCCTGGACATAGTGAAGTGTAAAAATGTTTGTGAGAACAAAAGCACTTTCAATAAGCAAAACTTAAGTCTCTCAAAAAAGGTTGTTCGAGTGATTTTTTCTTTGCCACACACAACAATCAATGTTCAGTTTGGGCAAGTGTATGAATGAGGGCAGAGTGCACAAACTTGAACTAAGGGGCACTTGTCTCTTTCAAATGCGCCACATATAAGATCATCAGACATCATGCCAAAGAACATAATAGTAATCCTCTTAACGATGGGAAGGCTATATCCACGAGTGGCTCAGAAGTACAGAACTAATATGATGTGCTGAAAGAGATACCTTGTTGAGCTTGATACTTGACAGACAATGAACATATCTGTCCACACTCCTTTGCTTGATACTCAACTAACATTTGCAGCCAAATATGAAAATGTTATGATTCCACTGCATGCCGAAACAGTTCTTGTACAATCAATTTGACAAAATAAGAAGGCGAGGAGCTACCATGTGAAGTAATGCAGAAGATGATGCATGAGTAAACCAGCTGATAAACACAACGATCAAGTGAAAAAAGGAATGAATGCATGAGAAAAATGAATTGATATCTAAAGCAAGCTGCCATAGGACTTCATTGCAAAGGTTCAAGGAAAAGGAATATAATGTTAATAGAAGGCAGAGCACCCCATTTTTACCTGTTGATCCAGCAGATTCTGGAAGTTTGACTGATAAAAAGTAAAACTGAACATTTCTGAAAGAGAAACACATTCTTGTTTTAATACTGGCAGGTGATATATTCACAAGATGAAGGTAAAGCATCTTTGGGATCCTTGCCTACATCCAAATATTACCTTGGAATGTTTCATTACTTTCTGTCTATGTCTTCGTGAATGAAAAATGATAGTACACCGTGTCTGCTTTACACCACCTCTTGCAAACATAATTTGAAGATCAAAATGGATAAAAAGTAAAATTACCAAGATCCATTAAATATAGTAACACATTAAAATTTCATAACTTCTATTAAGAACCAACGTCAGAAATTGTTCCCAATTTGCAAATAAAAAATATGTTACATACACGGGACACAATCAAACCCGGTTGGTATATTATGGCCCAGCATACTACCCAGTAAGGCAAGCAGTCTGATGAGGTTTGTTTTAAGCCCACATGCAACATATCTGCAATACTGTGCCAAAAGAATCCTTTCTCCACCTATCTTGTAAAAAAGTGCCTGCTAAAAAACAGCATGATTGATCTTCTCACAAACAAGTCCTTTCAGTAGAGATGGACTCTCTCACCTCAACCATTTCAATCCAACAAGTATTGCAGGAAGAGAATCTCAAACATTACAGATGAGCAATGCTGGATTTTCTTAACCAAACAACCCACCATTTCCTAAATCACCTTGTTGCAACTCTTTCCTACGCAACTCCTCCAGAGGATCTGGGCTCTTATATACTCTTCTCATCCGCCTAAAACATAAAGGGAAAAATTAATCTCTTTCTCGGGAATGAGAATTTCAAGTAAAGATAAAATGGATATCTTTCTTTAGACAGTTTCACATGAACAAGTGAAATAATACCTGTCCTGAGCATGCTGTGCTGGAAATGTGGGCATAAATTCTTTAGACTTGGGAAGGGGAACTTCACGAAACCACTCATGGTTGAGAGCTGCTTCGGCAGTTATGCGCTGAATTCATCAAAACGCGTAGTATAAGAACAAAAACAAACAAAACTAGTAGAGTATGTTTCATTAGTGACTCAATGAAATATGGCATTGAAATCGATCTATTTAGAGCTAACCTTCTCAGGGTCATAAGTCAAGAGCTTGTTTAACAAGTCAAAGCCAGCATCAGAAAGTACTGGTGATCCTGTGAAGGAGGTTGCTGGAAACTTCTTGCGCAACAGGTTATACCTGGAAGGAATAAATCACTAGTTTAAAAGAAACATGATAGTTATTTAAGTGAGACTGTCGCTAGGAGAGGCAAGAAAGCCAGACCAGTATCACCCAAAGCTGGAAGCCTGGGAAAAGAGTGGCAAAAACAGAGGACATGAATCTCAAGTTATTTAGTGTATACAAAATGATTTACAAGGAAATGATACTTACTGGTGCTTCACAAAGCTGATCTTGAGACCTGGAAGTTTAGAAAATCCAGGCCATATTGTTTCGTTGGGTGTGCCAAGGATTTTATAAATCTGAATACCGACAAGTGTGTTAGGTCGGGCTGCTAGTAGAAAAAAGGTAAAATTCCAGGAAAAAACATTAATTACCTTATCAAGCTGTTCGATCTCTGATTTCCCGTTGAATAAAGGTTCTTTGGACAACAATTCAGCCATAATACAACCCAACGACCACATATCGATTGCTGTTGAATATTGCTTGGCTCCCAATAACAGCTCTGGTGCCCTGCAAGTACAAGAACCTTGAAACTTTCAATGTCACTGAGTTTAGAAGCATCTACCACACAATCTATATAACCATCATCTTGATCAAAGCAAAACACAAAATCATTTATGCTAGTCTTGCACAGGAACAAACTAAATAGAATCATATAATTCTGGGAACTTAGGAAGATCAGTAACATGCAAGATCTTAAGAGATATGATAACAATGTCTAAAAGAAATTCAATAACAAGCACATTAACACTCACCTGTACCACAAAGTAACCACCAACTGAGTATAGGGTTTCAGAGGGCTTCCGTATTGCCGGGCCAACCCAAAATCACAAATTTTTAACTCACCACGGTTATTTAGAAGCAAATTTGATGTCTTTAAATCACGATGAAGAACCCAATTATCATGAAGATACTTAATCCCCTCCAAAAGCTGGATCATAAGGCATTTTACTTCACTCTGGCTAAATGGCTGCTTCATTGTTTCCATTAATGCCTTGAGGTCATGTTCCATATATTCCATCACCATGTAAATGTTATCAATTTTGTCCCCAACAACTACTTCCTTAACGTCAACAATAGAGGCATGATGAAATGAAAGGAGAATATTTATCTCCCTTAGAGAAGTCAAAGGAAATCCTTCTCTCTCTTTCTCCATCTTAACCTTTTTCAAAGCAACAATTTCTCCAGACTTCTTATCCCTAGCCCTGTAGACTACGCCATAGGTGCCTTCATCTATCTTGTTGAGCCTTTCAAATTCATCAACACTCCTACATCCTTGAAGCATGTTCACAGTTCTTTGCAACGGGGGTGCAGGGTCTGGTGTACCAGGTGAGTCCATGTGGTCTTCAGATTCTGTATCTGAGTGGCTAGAGCTAGTGTCGTTATCATCCCGGTCCTTGCTAGCACCCCTGTGATCACAGTTGTTTTCATCATTATCAGCATAGCTATCCCTACTGGAAGACCTTACACGCTCCTCAGACCCAGATGACCTAGTCCTGGTTCCTTCAGAATCTCTCCTGAACTCTGACAGATCTGGAGTTAGGGTTTTAGAGTTTCCTTTACGTTCTATGAACTCGGAAGCTGACTTCCTCCTCTTTGGTAAGGGAATTTGATCATCATTTGATATTTCACCTTCATCAGCTGGGGAATTAGCGTCAGTAGCCCACCGTGAATACCTTATGGTTCGAGTGGGTACATACTCATCATCTTGAAATTCCTGCACCCTTTGTTCACTGCCCAATCCTCCATGAGTGGAGATCAAAGCTACATTAGCAAGTGATTGAGTTCCAGGAGAACTATTTGGATGAGCAGGATGAACAGGTGACTGCTGAACCCTACTCTCTGTCATAGGAGAATACTGTGGATTGCAATTCTGATGAGGTTTAGGTGTGTGATCAAACTTTATCTCGGGAGGATTACGGGGACGGTTAGATGTAGGATGTACACTGGTTGTCATCACTGTTCTAGCCACTTCCTTATCATCTCTATCCCAAATGATCGGAGAGAATTTCCTTTTCTTACTCAGAAGAGGTGACTTGTTTCCATTGACCAGTTTTTTAGCCTCCCCACCTTTCAACTCTGAATCTATGTCCATTGTTCCATCAGAACTGCTTTCACTAAACAGCTCACCAGGTTCTCGGTCAAAATCCTTGGCTGCAAATCCAGGTCTCTCGGGCCCACCAGCACTACCACCACCTTCACTGCTACCTGAGTCACTCCTACTAGACACAGAATGACGTTCCCCATTCGTCAATTCCTTTTCTTTTATATCCTTCTTTCTGACTCTTTTCCCATTTCGGATATTCCGGTCAGGAACAGGAAACCTATCATACTCCAGATCGGCATCTCTAGCTTTATCATAATCCATCTTGGAATACCCAAAATCCCTCAGTGGCACATCCAAATCTGACTCCCGGTTCCTGAACTCATTGTCTATGTAACCTCCGTGCCTTCCAGCAGCCATATGGAAGCCTAGGTAAGAAAAAACCCCTAAAACCTACCACAAAACCCAAAAACCCTAGATCTCAAAGGCACGAAAATTGCAACAAACCCTCTTCCTCGACCAAACCCTAAACGGACCCAGCAAATTGAACAAAAAAGGGGTCTTGATATCGAAATTAGAACCAAACAAGCACAGAAGACCAGCCAGACTATGTGCTTCTATTTTCCCCCCACGGATCTCAATCTCACTGAACCAATCAAAACAAGACAAAAAAAAAGACGACGGAGGCAGACAGAAACCCTAGGAAGCTAAGGCTGTAAATAATTCTCCACCAAACGAGGTTGAGATCGGAAGCGGCTTACCGAATGATTGAATCGGCGGCGGAGAGAGATTAATTGGAAGAAGATAAAAGACGGCGGCGACGCTGGTTGTGGAGAAGATGCGCAGAGAGGGGATAAGGCAGGAAGCGATATGGAAGGAAAGCTTCGTAGAAAGAGGCGTTGAATGATTGGCTTGCGATTCTTAAATTGGGAAGCGACGCTTTGTATATTTTTGGGGTTTTGGACTTTGGAGGTTTGAATTTTGAATTAGGAAAATATTGATGAGTCTAATTTTATTACACGGAATTCAAATTATGAGATTGAAATTGGAAATAATAATACTAATTCTGTTGTTTGGTTTAACAAATATGTATATTTGGAATTGATAGTCTTGAAAATTAATTGGAATTGGAAAATTTAATTCTATCCAAATGAAATCCATAAAATTTCAACTCTCAATTCTATTTTCCGTGTACCAAACAGACCCTGAGTATTTTTAAAAGAAAATATTTTTTATAGCTCAAACCTCGAAGTTGTAAGACATGTTTTGACATTTGTATGATGAGGCCGGTTCAAATGACATTGAGAACCAATGTCATGGGATGACCCAGGGGTAGGGGTGTTCATGTATAGGTCTGGACCGAAAAAACCGACCGAACCGGACCGATCGGTCCAGACCGAACCCGAACCGACAGGGTTTCGGGTCGGTCTTCGGTCCGAAGTATTTTTAGTTTCGGGTTTCGGTCTGGTCCGGTCATTACCCTATTCTCAATCGGTCCAGACCGAGATAGACCGATAACCACTTCATTTCTAAATTTATGGGTTCCGTTCAAAAATCCCCAACCTTATCCGTAATTTGGAAAAGACTTATCGCCAATTTGCCATCGCTGATTCTCCTGTGTTGGTGAGAGCCTGAGAGATTCGCCATCGCCTATTAGCCTTCCTCTTGAAGAGTCGTCAGTGTTTCAGTCGAGGGATAGCCCAGCGATTAGGGTCCTCTTCATCGTCCTCGTCTACTCGCCGTCACCCTAATTGTCGTCAAGAGTCGTAAGTCTCAGGCCATCGCCGATTTTTAAAATTTCAACTCTCAATTCTATTTTCCGTGTACCAAACAGACCCTGCGTATTTTTAAAAGAAAATATTTTTTATAGCTCAAACCTCAAAGTTGTAAGACATGTTTTGACATTTGTATGATGAGGCCGGTTCAAATGACATTGAGAACCAATGTCATGGGATGACCCAAGGGTGCTCCGGTGTAAAATTGACGGTTCCTACCCCTTCTAACCCCCCGGTAAACCCCCCACTAGGGATGTAAACGAACCGAATCGAAGCGAATACCGAGATATTTGAATTTGTATTTGTTTAATTTTTTCGTATACGAATCCGAATCTGAATATGAGACGAATTCAAAATAAGATTTTGACTATGTATTTGATTAATATTCGAATAGTTATCGAATCCTAAATGAATATTTGAATAATCATACTATGTAATGTATATGATGGACCAATATCGATTTGTAATTTAACTTGCGATACTCTTTATACTATACTATATTCCGTATCTAAAAACATTAATACATTTGCATCTTACACAAATTATATTTTATAAAATATAACTATTAAAAATCATATGCTTTAGATTTTCGTGTTACGTTAATTTATTGAATTCTTAATAATTTAAATACACTTTATACTATATTACTTTGCTTGACTTTTGATGTTGAAAACATGGCATGTGCATATATACATATATTCAAATATTCGAATATCATCCTAATCGAATATATCCATATTTGTATTTGTTTAATATTCGAACCAAAAATAATATTTGAATTTGAATTTGTATTTGAATAATGCGAATTCGAATCATTATATTCGAATACGAATCACGAATTGAATTCAAAATATTTGATTTGTTACATCAACTTGGGGGTGCAATTAAAGGGGGTGGGGGGGGGCGTTTGGGTCGGGGCGTGGTGGGGGGTTTACCGGGGGGTAGGAACCGTCAATTTAACGAACGGGGCACCGGAGCACCCCCGGGTCATCCCATGACATTGGTTCTCAATGTCATTTGAACCAATGTGTTGTATGATATAGTATCATCTCGTTTTAGAATAGAATAGTACCAAATGGTCTTATTCATAAAATTGGACTATTTGACGAATAATGATACAATACGTGTCTTACAAAAATATTAGACCATCACAGATCGTTGTCTTCCTAAGAAATACTTTGCAAATTTTTTCGACTTATTGAAACTCAAATAATTACTGTCTCATTCTGATTCAAACATAAGACATTATTAACTTAATATTATAGTAGAAAAGAAGGGAAAGTTTATTTTTGGGCATATAAAAAAAGAAAATAAATATTTATTTTGGTGCATAAAAATTTTAACAAAGAAATTTTAATCACATAATTTTTACTCCGTCATTTTTAATATTTCTATCAATGTCAAAGAAAATAATGTTAGAAATTTTTTAAGTCATAAAGACTCTGTTTTAAAACAAAGCTTGATGCTAGAAAAAATTGGAAAAAATTGGAAAGGGTTGAAAATATTAGAAAAGTTTTGAAAAACTCAAAAGGGTGAAAGTAGAATAAGTTGAAAGAAACTTAAAAGACTTAGACAGAACTAGGAGTAGTTGGAACATACTGAAATTAGTTAGAAAAACTTAAAAGAGTTGGAAGAAATTGCAAGCACAACAACAACAACAACAACACGACAACCCTGTTGGAAGAAACTAAAGATAGTTGAAAAAATAAAAGTGTTAAAATAATTATTCATTACTCCCTTCGCCCCATAGATTTTTCTTATCATTATTCACAGTGTCAAAATTTAAATAACTTTATTTGCTTATTTTTTATAATTTTTATATAATTACTTAACAAATTTATAGATTTCACTTTCTTGTCCTGAAACTTTGAACCCTTCAAGTTGCTGGTGTAGTCTCTCATCTAAATCTCCATTAAGGAAAATTATTTTTACATCTATTAGATGAACTTCTAATTTTCGCAAAGGAGTGATTGCAAATTTCATCGTAATGGAATTTATCTTGATCACAAAAGCACATGTATCAAAGTATTAAGCTGATTGTCACCCTTAATTAAAAGTCTAGTTTACAACTATGAATTGAAATATCATGTTACATCTTTCTTCAGAAGATCTATTTCGAACGTAATGTCTTGCATCCTATAGGTAGATCCACTAATTTTCAAGCATGGTTCTGCAAAATAAAATCAACTTCGCATTCTTAATGACCTTTTTCACGGAAGACCTTCAAACAAAGTCATTGCTTCACAATAAGCTTGTGATTCATCTTCTGGTAAACAAGTTAGAATATTGAGTTCATTTATAAAAAATGATAGCATTCCCCTCTCTATAGTATTTACTTCTCATAAACTTTGCCCATATAGAGTTAGCTTGTATGGGCCTCCCACCATAGTTTGAAGAGACTAACCTCCTGAATCTCTTGAATGCTTTTAAGCCCAGGCCAAGGCCTCCAGCTTCCACTTGTACATAATGGTATTCCCTTCGTTCTTGAATATTTGTCAATTTTTAACTTTTTTGGTCAAAATTAGCAAATTTTTACCTCACATTAAATAAAAATAATATAAGATATTGATACAAAACAGTTTTATTAGATTTTGAAAGAATTATTTGGGAGGAAATTCTCTATATTTCTCTCTTGTCTTTACAATTTACAATGAGATATATATAGGATCTCACTAGTTGAGACTCCTAATAAGTAAAGGAAAAGGAAAAGGAAAGAATCCCTATACAAGGAAAACTACCAAGTGCTGTCACACCAAACCGTCATGGGGTTCTTATGCTCAACCCCTAAACACCGCAATACATTCTTTAACCACTTCAACTCACATGTAAGGACAGTCAAAGCTCTATACTCTGCTTCAGCAGACGAGCGAGCCACCGTCGACTGCTTCTTTGTTTTTGTTTTCCATGACACAGGCGAGTCTCCAAGCTGCACAAACCACCCTGTCAATGACCGCCTCGTCAAAGGACATGCTGCCCAGTCTGAATCACACCATCCTGTGAGTTGAAGACTCTGCTGACAGAAAAATGCCCTGACCCGGACATCCTTTCAAATAACGAACAACTTTAAGGGCCGCAGACCATTGATCCTTCCTTGGTTCCTTCAAAAACTGTGCTAAAGTATGGACGGCGTAAGAAAGTTCCGATCGTGTAACGGAGAGATAGACCAACCTTCCTACCAACCGTCGATATGGTTCTGGATCTACAAGAACCGAGGCTTGGGAATGAGCCAAGTGATGATTTGGCTCCATCAGGGCACCCAACGGCCTGACACCTAACAACCCCGCCTCAGTGATGATATCTAAGGCGTACTTTCGTTGGCAGAGAAAAATCCCAGACGTGCTCCTTGCCACCTCAATGCCAAGAAAATATTTCAGTGTTCCCAAGTCTTTCATATGAAAACAATCTCCGAGATAGGCTTTGAACTTGCTTACCATCTCTGTATTATCTCCAGCAATAATCAAATCGTCAACATAAACCAAAACATGTATGACTCCTTTCTTTCCAACAAAAGAAAATAAGGAGTAATCAGCAACAGATTGGACAAATCCATAGCGTTTCAAGGCTACAGACAACTTGGCAAACCAACACCTCGGAGCTTGCTTTAAGCCATACAGAAACTTCTTGAGTTTGCACACCACATTAGACGAATTCGAGAAACCAGGTGGCAATCTCATATACACCTCATCCTGAAGATCTCCGTGTAGAAATGCCTTTTGAACATCCATCTGATGCAATTCCCACCCCTTAACTGCTGCAACTGCTAAAAGCGTTCTCACAGTGGTCAACTTGACTACAGGAGCAAATGTTTCTTTGTAGTCAAGTCCTTCAACCTGATGATTGCCAAGTATAACAAGTCTGGCCTTATATCTCCCCACACTTCCATCAGACTTGCGCTTGATCTTATATAAATCTGTCTCGCACATATGTCTCTTCATTTAAATGTAGCCAACATATTTTGAACTGTATGATGACCAATTCCATTCAAGCACACATTTGAAAGGAAAATTGAATGCACACAAAGGAAAAAATAAACTGCACCTGAGAAAGTAAATCTTGCTCCAAGAGCCACGGGATGTAAAAGAAACACCTCAAAATTATATGCATCATGTGGCTTGATGCTTTGTATATCGTTAGATTGA